AATGGTGGAGGGTATTAAAAGTTCGGCCCGGCCGAATTTAACTGCTGTTTTACTTGTTTTTTTTTTTTTTTTTTTTTTTTGAAAAGTAATATTCACGGTCTTACTGGCATTTGTAGTTTAAAATGGAACACGTTTGAATTCAGATACTTTTATATTTAACGAAGGTGAATGGTATTAGAAGTTCGGTCCGGCCTAACTTAATGTCTTTTCTTGTTTTTATTATATTGTTTAATAAAATTTATTCCACTGCAACATGTATACGCCACTGCGTGCGCCACAGCACATTTTTCTTCCATTTTACTCCGACGAATAGCCAACCCATTATTTACTCACACGTAATATTCACCAAATATGGTTACGTAAACAGTTATTACGCCTCCCATGTCAACGAGGGGAGGAGGGGAACTTATTAATAGCCAACTACAGCTACTCTTTGGAAGCCAATATTAATGAACCATAATCGAAAGTGATTAATGATGGTTAAACACTTTTTTTCTTAACGAAAAGCGAAGAGAAGTAAAGCGGGAAAACGTAGCAACAAAAAAAAGACGGCTACAATTACAGTAAATTGTTGTCTGTCTGTCGGCTTTGCTTGTTTATTGGATATTGACAAAACGTTAACATCTCAAATGCGTAGAAATTTCAACACAAAAAAAAAACCTTAACTACAATGGACATAAATGGCGAATGAACGGCCAAAGATGAGAAATAAAATCTCTTAAGTGAATGACCATTACTTTGGTGCAAAATTGTCCCGAGTCATTGCAATGGGGCTGGGATAATAAGTTGAGATGCGTATGTGTGAGTGTATATTTTGTGAAGATAAAAAAATAACCGTAAAATACCATTAATGCACAACAATGCTCTTTCTCTCTCTTGCCCTATGTTTTGTCGACAATAAATGTTTCCCATTGTTGTTTACTTTATTAATATTAATAGCAATAGCAACAACAACAATTACAACAATAATCATAAAAATATTTAATTTTTACAACATTTTTGTTGCAGAAATGTCAATTGTATGACCATTGACCATTTTGTTATCCACAACAAAAAAAAAACACGTTCGAAGTTCGAGTCTGTTCGAATGAATAATGACTCTCAATCAAATTGTCATTAAAAAGCCCCCCTCCTCTGAATTGAATTTGCCATTTTGTGAAAGAAGTGAAAATATGACTTAACAATTACAATAAAATGTGTTGTAATATTTCAGAAAATGTGAAGTTTAGTTACAGTGAACATTTTATTGATGAAAATCTTAATAATGACATGGGTTAAATGGCCTAACTATTCTATAAATAAACATGTTTTATTCAGCGTCCACTTTAAGTTAACAAAAAGTGTCTGTGGGCTAAAATAAAAATAATTTCCAGAAATTCATATTATTAAAAAAGGCCTATAGAAAGATAAAATTACAGCTCAAAGGTATTCCAAAATTTAAAGTTAAACTTGACACTTTGGTGTCGATGTTGGCTAGGTCTGTTCGGTTACCCAAAAATGTACAACTATCGTTCACAATAGTCACTTAACATAAAAGTTCCCCGATTCGAGAGAGAAATGTCGACAGTTCATTCACTGAAAGTTTGCATATTCTTGACAGACAGGTTTTTTCTTCTTGAGAAGAATGATTGCAAACATTTGTAGCAAACATGTTCCAGAACCTAAAATGTAGTACCAAAATTTACTCGAATTTAGGCGAGAGTACGCCTGCGAGTATATTCTATTTTTCTATGACACACAAATAGTAGCGAGCAAGCTTTGTTCGTTTTCAAGTGAGAGTACAATTCGTATGAATTCGAGCAGATTCTACTCATTCCGAGTACCATTGTTTTATTTGTAGGAATGTGGATTTTTTCAACCAACAGCTACAAACGAAATAAAACCAAAAAAGCGCTCCGGCCAATCTGTGCCAGCAAATCATAAGATAGACTCTAATTTTCTGCTTTTTCTCTTCTTGGCTTTTGTAGACGAGCATCTTGACTTCACCTCATATTTTTCAAACAAAAGAGTGGAGGGTAAACTTCGTTCACTCGAGAGTGAGAACAAGCAAATCTTAGCTCTGATATTTCTATCAAATTTAAGTCGAGTTTTGATGTTCGTCATACAATAACAAATTTGAAACCCACAAGTCAACATCGGAGTCCGTTCCTAATTAACTCTATCGTTAAAGAGCGTTGTCACCAGCGTTTTTTAGACACGAGAACTGAGTGCTCTCCCTTGCTTCTGTGGATTTTCTCTACAAAGTTTGCGTACACCATTTCCCCCAGGAAGTAACTCGTGAGCGCTCCCACATAAGACAAACAAAAAAGTGAAGAGTTAACTTCATGCAAAACTTCTACTCTTCGAGCACTTCGAGTATATTTCCTACAAGAAAATGTAACTAGTAGTCCGATTCTGTAACTTTTTGACAACCTTACTCATTGTTTACTTTACAAACAATACTTAATTAATAAAATATTGAAAAAAAAAAATTCAAACGATAAAAGAAAGTTACACATTAGACCTATAAATGTAGATGTTTTTCTTGATATTCCATTTTCGTACGAGCCCAAAAGTACGCAAGGTTTAATATGTTTTCAATATGATTTTCTATTCTTCAAACAATACCCACTAAATAAGTAAAAAAATCAATTGTCGATTTTGATTTGATAAGGCAAAGTCGAACATTGGTTTGTAGCTAATTAGATAAAATCGGAAATCGACATTTTATTGAATGCAAAACTCGAAGATTCTTAAGTCCTATTTTTCGATTTCGTAAATCTTGCGCTGACATTTTATTGAAGGCAAAACTCGAAAATTCTTAAGTCGTTTTTTCGATTTCGTAGCTACTTTGATCTTCTGTTTTTTTTGTCGCTCATGAGAGGACAACTAGGTATCTTTGGCCGTTTCCAAGTGCTGATGATGATCATGGAATTATCGATACTTAATTGATCTGTATTCCATCAGGAGGTCTTGTACCTCAGATATCGCCCCAGTTTTGAGAACTAAAAGCTGCGTCTAGCGTCACCAACTCTTTTCTATGGCACTTTTTTAATATAGCTGCACTATTTATGTTTAGCTGCACACCTTATTTTAATACCTGTCACCAAAAGATAGGGTACTTAAATTATGAAACCCATTTTTAACATCAGCAAAAAATATCATTACCAAATAATGGCATCAGTAATTACTTACAAAGCAGCATCCAAAACACATATTTTAACACGGGCATATCATAGGAAGTAACTACTTACCATAATACCATTAAGAACCGACGAGAATGAAGTAGTTCTATTTTTGGTTTGTTTTGTTTTACCTGATGAGTTGAACAAGTAATCTTCTAATTGGAAGTCGGGCGCATAAGAACACAGCCACGTATATGTTCGTTGACAGGTTTTTCGTATTATTTTTTCAGACGTCGGACGTATTCTCGTTACTTCGTATAATAAACATTTCTTATTTTACCTTATAAATACTACAGAAAAACTCATTATTTTTATGCATATTAGTAATGCAAGGGATTGCACCTGAAATTCTGAGAAAACTCGACAAAGTGAGGGTCAATATACCCTAAACAAATAATAATAAAAATTTCCAATATGAACAAAATCTTCAAAATTCCACCTGGAACACAAAATCCAAAAACCAATTGATAAAAATAGCCATTTTTTTAAATTTGTAAAAACAGCTATTAGCTTAAAAGGCATATCCAACACCTTAGTTAGAATTTATGAATTATAGAAGATTTGGGCCCGTTTCCAATCGATGTGATATGATATTTTATAAAAATGCCGTAAGATTTATCTTGGCCCAGAGATTGCCACCTCATTTTCAATTGTACCTGTGGAATTTAGAATTTTAAGTAATGAATTTGAATATTTTAAAATTTTCTAATTTTTTACTAGTAACTGTCATTCAGAATATTTGGAGGTTCCATAGCTAATGTTTCTAGGTGTCGTTTACAATTTTATTAACTAGATAGCCTCCCTAAAGACTTTAAAACTTATTCATTCCAATACCACAACTTGATGTGCCCAAGAATTTCGTTTCACATTTCTGCACACACAGACAGTCAAAATTCATTTCCTTTTCGTTTCGCTATTTTAATTTCTCGAACATATGGTCTAAATGCAATTCGATACAATTTATTACAGTAGCTTCCCCCCTTGGGCATAGCTCAGGAGGGTTGTTTCGTTTGGTTACAAAAAGAAATGAGAAAAAATATACAAATTTATGAATGGCTCTGGCTGACTGACTTAGTTAATGTTACGACGATGGAATGACTGAATAAATGTAAATGACAAATACCACAAAAAAATGGATGACGATGATGATGTTGACAACGACAACGACGATGATGATGATGTTATTATTATTTAATATTCATCAAACATAAATAATCAAACGATCATATTTACACCTCTGTCGTCTCATTGACTTGGCTGGGTTTTGGCTGGTGACTGCATAGGAAAAATATCAATTTCCATAAAACCAAAAGAAAAACGAAACAATAAAAGAACGAGACAAACGTGAATTATTATCTGTGACACACAGACACATACACACACAATGACACTTAGGCAGTCAGCCAGCCAGTCAGTCAGTTGTACACAACAGTGTTGACAATGTGAAATGAAATATGAAAATAAAAATATGTTTGGAAATCAATACAGAAATTCCGGTGCCATAACCTGTGCGGGGGAGGCACGGGCACAGCCATCGAAATTCAATGGAACTGTGAACGGGGCTATCAAATGCACCAACCCAACATTCATAAATGTGCGCCATTAAAACAACGCCTCCCTCGGAACAAATGTGACTTGGAAATTTATGAAATATGATTGACAAGTGTTGATATTTAATGAAATTTTCGAAACCATAAAAATTCTATCAAAAATAAAAGGAAGGGAATTCCAACCAACAATCACATCGACTCACACTCACTCTCACATGGCTACAGCGGTAAAAAAATGTATTCGATTTCGATTTTCGGTGATTCTAAAATAATTCTTAACTTTCAGATATTCAAGAAAAGCGCGTAGCAGCTTCAACCAAAATCGTTCTCAAAAATGTATTTCTAATTACATTAAAGACATTCCAAACCACAAATCCTGCAAAATGTCGGCCGATATTATCAAGGAAAGCAAAACCAAGGAGGACCATTTAAATGGCAATTCCAAAGTCGAAGTTATTGTTGCCGCCAAGTCGGATAAGACTTTAACCAAAAACATTGACTCCAAAGATGATTCGTTGCGTAAACGCACCTCCCTGATCATTGTGCCCCAAAAGGACTCGCCCAGCGACACGGAGGACCAAAAGACCATAACACACAACATGAGCTCCTCCACTATTGATACGGAGAATTGCAATGAATTGATAACGGATGCCAAACAATCTTCGCTGAGCAAATCCTTTGACTCATCCATATGTTCGAATCACTCTTCCACCGATGAAGAGGATCTCAATGAACATAAAAACTCCGCGGCAAAAGCTGGTAAAATCAACAACAAAAATCGCAATTCCTTGGTTAGTGTAGATAGTTGTGTTAGTCGTTCGAACACCTCGGCCTCATCGTCATCATCCACCTCCTCGGAGTGTACTTCGTCGGGCGATGATGTTGTCCTTGATGATTATCACGATTTGGAGAATGGTAATGTCAGCATTGATGATCTTGAGGCGGAACGTAAAAATTGCATTTCCAACTCGTCGTCGTGCATCGATGATTATTCGTTGCGCGAAAAGCTCCATAATTATGTAAATGCCTCCTCAAAGCAGCAACAGGACAACAGTGTGGGTGGTGAGGAGGAGGAGGACCGCGAAGCGGGTGGTACGGGTAGTTCCACTGACATTGATGAGGGTAACATTGAACCCGACGAAATCGACTCACAGCCCTGCAGTCTGCCATTGCAGTGCGATGCACTGTTGAGTCCACAAGAGGCTCCCATGGGCAGGCGGTATGCGGAAGTGGCTCAATTTAAGGGCAATAAACGGTAAGTAGAACAAAATTTACTGAAGTCGATGTTTCATGGGGGTGAAATTTCAAAGATTCTTATTCAAATGAAAGCTTTTTAAGAGATATTTGAATAAATAAATATGAGTGATTTACATTCCAAAGAAAGTCAGCGAGGCATTAAATGAAGGTACCAACAGAAAGAAAAACTAAATAATATTTTTCTTTGAAAAACTGAAGTTTTTTTTGGAGTGAAATAGGGAGGACTTGGAATAATTTACTTTTGATCTGAAGGATAAATTTTTTTCTTCATTTTCAATTGTCCCCTCAACGTTTCACTAATGTCTTTCCCCAAAAATATTAGTCTTTTGCTTTTTATAGATGATATAAACACCCACATTGTGACACATTCCATTTTTCCACCCTACAAAAAAATCTGCTCCATTCTTAATAGTCACTCCGTCAAATCCATCAATATTTCACGCGGGACAATCATAAAAATTGGAGCATAAAATCAAAGACGTGTGACGAAACCGAAAGCCATTAATCATCCCTGACACAAGTTCTCCACTCGATTAAATTAAACTTGAAATGTCAAAATGCAATGTTTCAAAAGTTAACCTTTTGACAGCTGGCATATTGCTGGCTGACCTGACTCGAAGAGATTTTCCGAAAGGGAAACAAGGCATAATAAATATTTACCATTTTTTATGAAATACTTGTCATAAATTTTATATCCCACATTATGATGTGTAACAAATTTTATTTTATTAGTTATGAGAGAGAGTGCCACGAGTAAAAACAATAAACATTGCAATAAAATTATGTTAAAAGGGGCGATAATAAAAATAAAATTAATATGTTGTTGTAATGTATTCATAAAATACAATACTCAGTACCAGATATTATGTTCTATATGTAAATTAATGGGGAGTGGGGTTTGGGGAGCAATATTTTCGACAAAGTATTATTAAAATGAGCCAAAAGTTTGTCCCTTTGTCGGTACATCCTTTCTAACGAATTGAGATATAAGATTTAAATTTAATTTTTTAAGGAAGAAGGCAGTTTGAACTGCCTACGTATCAGTCCCATAAAACGATACCCAGAGCAAAATCAATCAATGTGGGCAACCTTTTTGGTTAACCCTTAAATTTAATGAATTTTTAAGAATTTTCGGATCCCAGCTGATAATGTTTCGGTTAGTTTTGTTTTCTCATAAATAAAATATCTATCAAATCCCGATGTGGTACAGATTATTATGCTGAAGGGAACGAAATAGATACATATTTCTTTTTAATGGTCCTCATAGAATCACATTCTGAGTCCATGTATTTTTGGTGGCATTTATTGTCTGATTTTGTTGAAATGTTCCACAAATAATTTGTTAGCTCCAAGGACGAACTTTACTGAAATTGGTGAGAATAAATTTCAAATTTATTGTGCCGCCATATGTATAATATTCGTCCAAATAGGAAGCATTTCGACACATCTGACCGAATCCAGCCTGGCAGCGAGAACTTCATATTTTATCAAGCTCAGTTCCTGTATTTCGGGTTTATTGTGCACCAAATGGTTAATATCAGCCAAAATGGCATATACAACCGAATTTTGTCTTGAAGCAAGTACTTCAAATTTGGTGAAAATCGGTTAAGATATAGCTATAGCAGTTAAGCTATATCGGTTAAGCACCATGTTTATGATTCATCCCATTTGATATTTAAGCCCCTCCCCTTCGTAATATGCACTCTACAACAACGATATTTGCTACCAGATATCAGTTACAGCTCAAAATTACCTCTGCCAAATATTATAGAGATTTGGATAAAGCTTCCACATGTATTTTCATCCGATTTTACAGTTATTGTGCACCAAAGATATAATAACAACCCAAATTCGATGGATTTCTGCATATGCAACCAAATTTTTCCATTTGGTTAAACTGGGTTTCACTATATCTAGTGCTCCAATATAATTTTTTTATCATATCATGTACTCTATAGAAATATTATTTGGTAAGAAATGTACAAATGTCATCGTCAAATTTGGTGGAAATCGATTCAGAGTTGGATATACCTCCCGTATATTAGTTCCCTCCGATTTCGAATTATAACTGCTCCTAAGCCATAATTCCCATTCAAAAAAGGTTAATAACCGGTATGGTATTATTCACATAAATTCTCAATTTTAACATATAGTCGGACCCGCCCATCATTTGACCTTTCTTTACTGGTTTTATCTCAGATATGCTATCGCGATAAAGACCTAAAACGACTCTCAAAAACGTTTATATATAGCCGAATAGATTTGATACCAATATCCAATTTTACTAGCGGTAAAGGATGCCGCAAATATGGGAACTTCGCAGGATTGGGGCTTGGGAGCCTGTAAAGATTTGAATGTATTGATCTGTTTTGGGAATACACACGTCGAGTCTAGATCAATCAATCAATCAACTTTTGGTATCACGAAGTCTAGTAAAAATCGCAAATTCGATTTTTTGAAAATGGATCTTTGTTCGACCTTCATTTTGCATTGCATTTTGCAGCGCTTTCGTTGTAATTTTCACTACTTTAATGTACCCAAAATCAAAACACTGTCTGTTTGGCAGAACTACACCTCAAACTTAAAAATCGAAATCGATTTAAATAGACTTTGGTTTAAAAATTTAAAATCGAAAATCAAAATTTAACTGATTGGACAACTTCGAAAAACTTAGCAAAGGACACATAAGTGTTGAGACATCTGCACCATTCTCAGTGTAGTTAAATTAAGCTGGGTTTCAGGCAGCTAACGCTCAGAAACTCTGTGACAAGTTTCCGAATGTGTAGGATCCATAGCCTGCCATTGACCAACATGTTCCCCTTATCCCCAAACACTTTCCCTTAAAAATGGTTCACGTAAAAAGGATTACTCGAAGAGCAGGCACCGTTCCGAGTCACTCCCGTTTGAAAAATTAGAGTTGGAATTAAATAAAACAAGAGTTTGCTCTAAAAATTAGTGAAAATATTTTATTTCCTGACTTGTGTGTGCAAGAGCAAACCGAGTAAAGAGGGGGAAGTGTGATGAAGAGGATGTAAAATACATAGAAATACAACAACGGTATGACAAAAACGAATGCTCGGCAAAAGTAGAATCTTCTCATTTTTGAACAAATATTGCTCCACTTAAAAAAGAGGATAACATGCCCACTCCTATTCGAGCGACATCGGAAAATTGAGTTTCCAGAAAGTTTCGCTCTTTGATTAAATTCGAACGAATTTTCCGGAGATCTACTTTTTACCGTAGTTTATGGTCACAAAGACTTCCCTATTGAATGGAACATTCGTCTTCACAGTTTTGGTGGCAAACCACGGATTTAATGATAAATATTCTTGGTTTTTTTTTATAAATACTCTCAGCGATAGAACTATATACAATAAGACATAGAATTCTATAAGTATAATGAGCAAAAAGTTCTCTAGACAAATATAGACTTCTTCCTATAAAATAAAGAAAAAAATCATATAAAGTTACTATATCGGGTACCTGACTCTCTATTAATGTCACACGTCGTTTGAATAACTGAGTGAAATCATAAAGATATTCTTCGTATTATTTGTGACTTTATTTTTCGTTAAAATTGGGTTCATTTCTTTTTTCAAGAATTTTAAACCAGAATTCCATTTATAATTTTAGTCTTTAAAAATAGTAAAAAGTATTTTATTTATGTTATTAAAGATTTTTTGTCTACGCATAAAACAGTAAAAAGAACCAAGATTTATCTCAGTAATTTTAATGAATTATAAAAATGTTAAGTGTTTTCCCTGCCTTTGAAGAAAAGTTCACCTAATTTTGAATTTGACTAAGGAGGAAAAATACCTTATCTCGTTTAAACGCTACAGGATTGTATTTTAAAATTTCTTAAAGTCAACATTCCACAAAAAAATAATACATTCCCAGACACGAATATTTCTATCCCTAGAATTTTTTACTTTAACCAAGAAAGAATCTATTCTGAATCACTGTACTTCGGTGTTCTTTTTTTCATTTCTTTTTTATAAATAACTCAGAGTCGAAAACCTAAATTTCCACATTTACTTCCTAGAGATTTGGTATCAAAAATCAAGAATGAATGTTTACATTTTGGTATTACAGTAACTTAGAATGGTAGTTTCTTTATATTCAACATAATAAACACATTATTTAACAGTGACCTTGAACCGGCCGATTATTTTTGATTTTTCCGTAAACAAGGCGCAATGCTATTGTAATAATTAATAATCTGGTGATTATCCTAGATATTTGAAATTATTCTTCTTTGGTATTCTTAAATACCAACATGGCCTTATAATAACTATGCTCTCTAAATTCGTTTGAAATAATATTTTTCAACATTTTCTCTTTTCATCTTCAAGTCTCACCTCTACCACGCCACAAAAAAAAAAAATTCTTTCCCAAAGAAATTATTTCATCCCAATTTAAAACAAATTATTATGTTAATTTACATTTAATACTATTAACCTCATAAATTTCATACTAATTCCACCACTTATTTCTAAACCACTCCGCCTCCGGCAATAATCCTTATACAAAGCCCACAATTAAACTTCTATTGATCCCCCAATATTACCATCCAATTGCCATGGAACAAGGAAATGCAAATGGAAATTTAATCGAAATAAGAGTAGAAAAAACCAATCTCATTAATTCCAACATCCGAAACACTTGAAATTAAAAGCGGGTTGGTCGACATCCTTGGAAATTGGAACACCAAAATGGGAAATCTGGATAAGCGAGAAACAACATGTCACGGGACAAAGTGGAAAATAAGAAACCAACTTGTTGCCCCAAAATTTAGTTGGAATGCCCATTCCACCAAAGACCGAGTGTGCCACGTCATTGCCTGTTAGTGAGTGAATATTTGTGTTCCTAAATACAATGCCTCACTGTGACGATATGGGTAAATGATTACACTGAAGTACACAAAAATTCCCTGCAGCAACCCTCCGCTGGTTATACATCTCAAATATGCAGTTGATGCTTGATTCTTCACTCTCCCTG